CAACCTAAAAATGCTATCTTCAAGCCTAGATTTAACCAAACCACTCGATTTTTTTACGAGTTTTTTATTAATGGTACTAGGTAAATCAAAGTTTCTGCCAAGAACAAACTCTAGGAAAAACATTAAAAATTAAGAATTCTTAAAATATATTCTTTTGACTTTCCGGGAGATGAGCAGGATGTATTACTAAGTTTTGCTATCGTACCGATATATTCAGGTTAGCCATTTAGATTCTATCCATCGCTTCTCGTGGTCATTCGCAGAATATGAAAGGTGTGAGTTAAGGCTAGGCGACATCTCTTAGACTACTTAGCCTATCCATGAAATATACTTATTTTATCTTTGATGGTAGGTTTTATAAATAGGCACACGGACCTGTGCTATATCTTTTAGCTTCTATTTCGGGGAGAAATTTCACACAAACTGTAAGCAATTATATTCTTTTTTTGCCTTTCATTTGAACCTATCAGAATGCAATCAATCACTTTTTTAAATCTTATTGTGAATTCCTTTTTGGATGCGATGACCGACTTAGAGGATGCTTTCCGTTCACTATTATTTGTCTGCTTTTACTTGTTTATTTACATTAATTTATTACTAGTTTAAGTTTTAATTTCATTAGCTGTCTCTGATTATAAGGCTTAAGCCTAATAATTGCAATCATTTCGTAGTGGCATCAACTTGCATTAAGATTTTGTAATTTTTTATTCTCATATGTGAAAGATCTCTATTACAAAATTATTTTTTCCTTTGACATTCACGAAATTTTTTTATAATTTAATGCCACTCATTTTGCAATATTTTGAATCGGTTTTTTTAATCACATAGTTTGGTCTTGGTCATAGCACTTAATGTTGCTTTGATGCTTTTTACTAACATTAAAGTGACAATACGATTAAATCTTTAAAATAAGGTTTATAACTTTCTTCAGAGTGAAAGGAGACTGCGTGATTTATATGAAGACAACATCATCTTGGTCTTTTCATTATTTGACATTTTAATTAATTGGATTCTTTACAATGGATATTTAAAAATGTTTTAAAGATACGCGAATCTCAACATGATTTGAGATATTCTTTCTAAGATAATATTGCATTATTTTTTTTTTCAAATTGTATCTCTTCGTAAAGATCATTACTGCTGATACGGATCCTTTCTCATCTACGCTTAGAAAAGACACGCGTGTCGATGATGTGGCGATTTCGTGGCCACCAAACGAAATCCAATCGACCGGCAATGACTATGGGTCCTGTCACACTGCAGCTAACATTCTGTTAAATTCTCCATCAACACCACCTTCACCATCACCTTCACCTTCATCCTGTCCATTTGCACGAAAAGAGTCGACGGGCTCGCGGGCCTCACAGCGCCGCGGAAGCCTTGACAGTCTTGTAGCGGAAGCAATAGCTCAATTACCCGGAAATTTCTCGCGCGCTACCGCCAGGATTTCCGGCTGTTCTGTCAATTGTTCTGTCTCCGCTGCAGCCACTCTTGGTCCACTAGCCTGTGGTTCCGGGCTAGATTCTAACCAAGGGCAAATCGACGAGGTACTTGTTACCAGTGCTGGAGGTGGATTGACAACGAGGACCTTGTCCACCGAACCTGAGGCAGTATCTCCTGTCGATTACGACACAGATATGGTTGGCACTGGTCCTCGAACTTCTGGTTTATGGTCGCATAGTGAAGAGAAGAATCTTGCTTCTCGGGACGATGATTCACTTTGCCTTCTACGAATGAATGCCAGGAGGATGAATATGACAGCTACCGATGCAGTTTTCGGCATTTGCGCTGCAGCTGACAAGGGTGAGGCATCATGCTAACCTTAACCATTCTTCGCTCTTATACCTCTCAACTTAATGAGCACACTTGACTCTATATTCTCTTTTTAAATAATTTGCTTATGGTCATTTCAAGTGATCTCTTTATTTTTAATATAGTTTTCTATGACTTGGAGTGATTTTACAGTCTTTTTTGCCTTGTGTGACATGCTAAATATGTTCTATGCAAGTTGTTTGCCCTTGTTTTCGCAACTTGGTCATATTGACAGAAAGACTTAGAGGAACGCATCTTGTCAACAGTCCATAGTATGCCTGATAATTTCCAGCTTGGAACATTCCCAGACGCTTCGCCGGCATCGTCACTGAGCCTTGGCCGACTGGAAATTATTGTGCATTCTATGGACTCCGGACAAGTTGATTTTCTCTAGACCTTTCTAATAGTACAATCAAGTTGCGAAAACAGTTTCAAACAACTTATATACGATGAAAGGAGACGCTAATCATGCTAAAGGTCGCACTATCTTGGTCTTCATACCTTCGATCAAAGATGTTTTGTCTAGCCTTATCGCTTTCCATATAAAATGCAAATATTTATATTTCCTGATTATTTTTCAAAAATATTACTGGGACTTTTTTAAGAAATATGGTCACCTTAAGTCACTTTAAGGGATGGTGGACCTGATACTTGAGCTTCTCACGCTGAAATGTGTAAAAGTTATCATGCTGCCATTGAATTTTACTTTACTTTGTGAGAACAAGGTATCATGAGCCATACTAGTCATTATGCCTTAAGAGACTTAGATATTCGGCGCTAAATCATATAATGTGACCAAAGATAGCCTTAGCTAGTTAAATTGTTTATTCAATTGATTGCCATTCTCCATTTTGATGATATTTTCCCTCGCTTTCTACACTCTTTCATGCATTTGTTCTTTGGTTCCAGTCTATACCTTTATTTGTCTAAACTTATTTATTTGTAAAATCAGATAAACAGAACTCACTAATTTTCAGGACTAAATTAATTTGTTAAAACGGCTGAAATTTTAATTAGATTTATGAGAGATCAATGTTGAGGAGAATGAATATGGGAAAATTAAAGGCAAACCTGACGTATTCATCCCTGCATCAAAGCGAACTTAGATTATGTTTTCTACGCTAATAACTTTGATCTAAAAGCACATTCAAATAAAATAGGTTTTTATCTACCATGACTCATTTTTTCCTTCAAGAATATCTTAAGAAAATCACAGCAACAATTTAGTTCGTCGTCTGTGCACTTTTTTAATTTCTTGTACACAGGGATTCATCCTAGCTAAATATTGTAGAGGGCTGAGCTTGTTTTCGTTATTTGGTCGTGTTGTCAGGGGGACTTAATTGGACACACATGGTCTGAAGTCCTTTGCTATAGTTGTTATCATAATTCCCAGCGTCGGACTTTATATCTACTAAAGCAGATGACTTCGGGTGTGTAAAACTAAGTCACCCTGTCAACACGAATAAGTTGCGAACCCAAGGTCAACCAACATACATCGAAAGGAAACTGCGACCATACCAAAGGCCTCACCATTCTGGTCTTCTTATCTTCTATCCATATACTGCATATCAGTATAGCTTTTACAAATCTTAACTGTTCGAGATTGCCTAAGCTGAGTATTTGTTTTCGTAAAACGCATTCTAATACGATATTTGATCAAATTGTGTTCCTTTACTCATATTTTGTACATTTTTCTAAAATTGTTATAATTGTTCCGACTTGAGAGGTTGTCGCAAACTGATGACAAGCCAAGAAATGCATTAAACATATTTGTCACCTATTTTTTCATATTATTTGTCTCAGAAAATCATTATTTAAAAAACTTTGCATTCTATCTTTTTATTGTGGAGGACAATGATCAATAGCATTTGATCATCTGCAACTGTTTTATTATTGATTCTAAATATGCCTTCATGTTTATACTAATGACAGCTCTGTGGAGAGATCTAGAAAATTAGCCAGTATAAGAAGAGATGATGGAACTAGGATCATTAAAAACTAATTTCCAACGTAACACACCGCTCATTCCAAAAGCGTTAACAAATTTAACAACCTTTGAATGGTTTATTTACTTAGGAACTTGAAACTAGAGTTCACCTCTAGTTGTCTGGCTTTACCAGATTGTTTTCTTTTATTTCCATCCCTACAATGTGCAATTTTGCGGCTTAATATGAACTGAAGAAGTAAAAAATAGAAATAGGAGTTATCCATTTATCGCTAGAATTTCTCAAGGATTATCATTCATTCGAGCATATTTAAAATTATCTCATTATTTGAGACACACGATTTAAATGACTAGACTCATTGAAATCTCATATCAAAAAGATAATGCAATAAATCTGGAATGCTACTGACATTTTAGAAACATAGAATACCTCAATCTATTGACTAAATTATATGGACGGTTTATATTCCAGTCCTTCAAAACTTTATCTTAGATTTTCTTTTTTGAAGGCACTACATTTGAGATTTATTTATTAGCCCACTATATATATCCGCTATAGTTTCATCCCTTTCATATTACAAATCTATTATTCGCTCTCACTTCTCTTATGACTATCGCTTGCTTTTACATTACCACTACTAGCCTTATCGAAGTTTAACTATCAAAATATGTATCCTCATTATACTTTCGTCTCCAAGCGCATTGAAAGCTTTTAATTTTTACTACAGTGTCGATATCACCACTCAGATTTACCTCAAGATCATGAAATATTTTATCTCCCTTTTTTGTGTAATTGCAAAATACGCTCATACGTGACGATGTACAGATACGACCTGCCCCGTTGACCTCTCTTCCGATTCATTGTCCAGTTCGCCTTATCTTTCTTCGCTCTCCACTCTGGCCACTTCTAGCACTCCCTCATCTGCTTCCCTCGGAGGTGGCGGCAGTACCTGCAGCCGCGGAGTCATCAATACCAGCAGCGGGCTCATCAGCAGTAGCTGCGACTCCAGTAGCTCCGACGCCTCGTCCAATTCCTCCCCTAGTGCCATAGTCGTGCTTGAACCCACTGACCCTCTGGCCTTACCCACTCGTGGGTTCACACGGCTACATATGCCGTCTGCTACTCTGGGATCTCGAGGGACTGATGGCTAATCGCTGTTCGCGTCATTCTTGGTGGCTAAGGATGCTTTTTTGCCTTTTCTTTTTCTTCTGCACCACTTCCCTCCAAAGGACTCTATCGGCAAGAACCAATATGGCATTAATGGCGAGTCTAGTTTTTCGCTACTACTTTTCCTTCCCTCCATTAATTTTATAGATTGCAGACTCGTGCTCTCAAAGTTGACGTCTTGATCCTGGCGATTGATGTCTTTCTCTTCTATGCACAAGAATATGCGGGGACATCTGCCTATTTCAGCAATTTTTCACCCTATTAGACGGATTTATGGCTATCAACATTCGCTCACCTTAGTCTGATTAGACTAATTAATTTGAGATGCATCTTCCAAACCCTGCCATCACCACTAATCACATAATAGCTGATAATTATGCTTGTTTCAATCAGTTTCCCGCACTTTTGTTATGTGCTTGCAAGATTCTGCTTGCCTTCAGTGATATATTGATTGTATACTAATCTTGTATCCTTCATTATAGGTTCTATCTACCATAGCATTTTGTTCCTCCTTTTCAAACCTTATCGGACGTTTTGAGTTTCCTTTTTCGCCTCTTTTTTTCTTTAAAAATCCATCCATCTTCGGCTTTGTGGTCTTATTACTCTTGATAATCACTGGCCTTCCTTTACAGGCTTTTGCCTCTGACCATTCTATTTTTGCATTTGATTTCTATCATATTCGATCTAAAGTTTGAAATTACGTATTTACACTGGAATGAATAAGGTTCTTGGAATGATCGCTTTTTTGACCACTCTTGATGATAGCTCTCACTTTGCAAATACTTTTTTAACTGGCCCTCCTTTTGCTTATAAAGTTTACCTTGTTTCCACCTGGACCTATACTGATTTACTTTGGTAGCTTACCAAATTATTTCCGTATTTTTGATTGTTCTTTTCTATTGTGCATATTTACATGGCCGGGCTATTTTTATTCGATATTCTCAGACCGCTGCCTCCTGATATGCTTCATTTTTACTATCTGCCTACTCATGCTTATTGTCATGGAAACTTCGTTCATCCACCTGATCTATCTTGTGGTATTTCTCTTCCCATTTTATCCATTTATTCACTTTTCACTTTATGCCGGCTGAATTTTATACGTGTGATTTCTCGAATTCCTTGAATCGACTTGCCATAAATTGCTTTCGGCCTACACATTTTCTACTTTCTGTTTTGACTTCAAAGTGTTCATATGATCCATCTTGAAGCATATCTAATGTTGATTTTATATAAAAGTTTCATCTTACTTTCTTTCTTCAACTAAAGACCTTTTCTTCTTCAGAAATTCATTTTCCATCAATGTTTAGTTCTCCGATAAATGAGCACTGGCATAATGCATATGCTCTTGTTTCTTGATTTACATGCATTGATGTCAAACTTCTTTGTTCATCAACTTAGAGTTATTCTAGCATTATTGTTTGTCTACATTACTGTATTGTTATAAGCCTCGAGTCTGCATGTAAGTGTATGGAGCCTTCTTATGTTCTGTATGCTCTACTACCAGCCTTTACTCTCTTATTTGCTTTTTCACCTATCCTCTGTCTTTGTTACTCTCAGCTTTCCCAAAGTCTTCACGAGTATAATAATCATCACGTCCTTCTTACATTTTTACCTTCTAACTACTTAATTTAATACCGCCAGACTTACCCCTAGTCACTTGTTCACTTCCATTCTTCCGGATTCTTTTTCCATTCGAATATCTTCCTAACGATCAAATGGACATGATTCTTCCACGTTAGATGTTGCTTGGCATGTCCAAACAGCCTTTTAGTTTCTACCACTCTTCGTGCTTTGTATACAAGCTTTCTGTGATATTATCACTGGATGGACATGTCTTCTCTGGCTCCTTGTAACATTCATCCATTGTCAAATAGACCCTTCCCTTTTTTGTTATTAGTGCACGCCTTCGCACGTACATTAAATCACATAATCTTACTACCTGAATGCCCATTTATTCTACAAACGCATCCATATGTCCACTACAAATACCTGTGCACTCGTGAGACAAAGAGTTACAAGTCACTTTGGAGTCGCCTTGTCTTGTTTCATCTTAATCTCAATCTCACTCATGTCAAAGTACTGGGTTTTCCTCTGCAGCCCTTTTGCTATTATTTCAAACAAAGCAATTTCACCTATCTCACTGCTCGATAAGAATGACTGGGATGCAGATTTAAATATCGAACTACATAATTATGCGTAAATGAACACGGCAGCCTTGATCATAGGCTTTAAACATGGTAGTTGTCTGAATTTAAAGAAGAAACATATATGAGGTTATGGACTTGTCAACTAGGCCCCGAACTACTCATATGAATATAATGTACACATGGAATTTTTAATGGCCGATTAAAACTAGTGTTGGGGGTCCGGTTTTTTAAAAACTCCTTAAGAATTCCATATAAAAAAGTTGGTCGGGTATGGATTCTTTAATTGTTCTTGCAAAAAGTGTTTTAACTACAGCATTCAGTGGCGAAGTTAGACACCATTTTTCAGAAGCGTGGTGCTGATTAGGACTCTTGAAAAATTCTTTATGGACCAGATGCTGAAAGTGCTGCAGGACGTGTGGATTGGTACGATGATGGGTGGCCCATTCTATTATCTTTTGTGAATTTGATCTCAATACATGCTTAAAGACCCTAAATAAAATAGGCTCTTATATCCCATGTGTTCAACCATAATATCAGTCACCTATTAAGGTACACACACGAGGAATGCAGACAAGAATACACATGCACAGATGACCGAGCTTTGACTAATATATAATTTTAGATCACTATCCCAAATCCAGCAGGTGGACACCTCACTACAGTTGCCTCTTTACTTCTATTTGTCCTTCTTGACCCTGTTTTTGACTGTCTTTATACTGTTGTTGAATATTTGTTCTGGGTGGAGATGTCTAACTTTTTGGTGTGTTCGTTGAATCTCCAAGTTTGCCCAGGCAGTACGCGAAATTTTCTCTGACTCTTCCTTCTTCCAATCTCCTATTAATCAAGTCCATTTGAATTAGGTTGTTCACAGTCTCTGATCTTCCGTTCTATGCTGTCTTCCCCATGTGAGGCCAGTCTTTCAGTTGCACTTTAGTCAATTGTGTGGTCGTTAATGGTGATGCCTTTGGCTATCTCCGGTCTTTCCATATCCATTTTTTAGCATAATCGCTATATTCGTTGATCCTTCTGCTGGTGATTCCTTCCCGTCTTTTCGATGTATTTATTTTGCAGTACTTGTAGTTTATCCTTTAAGCTCTGGAGCACTCAATTTCATTTACTTATTCATGTTGTATGGGCAAGCTGTTGAAGACGTTATATGAATGTTCCATTTTCATAGTGTCGACCGCAGCTTCTAAGCCAATTCGCAAGTAGGTAGACATATCCATGATTTTCCCCTGTTTCTCTTGCTTTCTTTCAGAATCTCTGCCTTTCCATCTGTTCACCAACATCCGTATGCTACCTTGTATTGCTTCTTCTGGATATCCATTTTAGAGAAACATCTGAGCTAGTTTTTCGAGTTCCTCTTCCCATAAATCAGAATCAGTGAGTCGTAGGCTTCTTATTGCCATACTCCGTAGTATTCTAATCTACATTCCATGAGTATGGTTAGACTGGAAGTTGGGAGTTATTCCAACATGCGGTTTCTTTAGGCAAAGTCGTTTCTTGAGTGCCCTCGAAGCGAAAGGCCTTCAGATTTAAGAAAGGTGTGTCCTGTCCGTTTTTTCGACAGTTATTGTAAATTTGACTTTTTCATTCATCTCGCTTCAGGATCTCGGATATCGTCCAATTTTTCTTTTCCATCCGATCAGATTGCGAATTAGTCATTCAAATATAGCATAATTGCCTTTGAATGCTTAAGTGACGTTTGAAATTTGCTTTTAACTTGTCCATAAAGTTATAAGCCACCAGGGATAAGAGTGGTGAGCCTATTGGCAGACCAAATATTTGTCCGGACGGGTCAATACATCTCATATAATCTGAGCTTTATTTTTTAGCATATATTTTTCATCATTGTTTGCTTTTACTTGCATTTTAAAGGCAAAAGCTACATTTTAATTAAAAGGCAGATTCAGTAAATTTTCTAATGGGACTTAATTAATGACAATTGAATTTTGTGAGAGGAATGTCTTTGCCTTTTTGAGTTGTTTTGTAATTTTTTCTCGATATAAGCGATATTCCATCTAATTCGCTCAAATTATTTTGCTGACTACTATTTGAAATTCACACATTGAAGTAAGTAGGCCTGACGATTCTATTAGTTTTCATTTATTTTGCATCCCAAAATGTTATTCAATTTAGGGTGTCCTGCACTTTCCAGCCCATTTTAGTCTGTCAGCAACCCTTGAGGGGTTTAACCTCGGCAATTGAAGCTTAATTGCTAGTTGTTGCTACTAGTTTTAATAATTAGGATGAGAGACCTGAATTTCAGGGTAGAACTGCTACTTTTGTTTCGCAACTTATAGTGGACGTTTCGACTAAGAAAATTTGTTTTTGCTTATACGATTACTAAATTACGTTTTTTCCTACTTGACGTGTTTCTAAATTACTAGTTAATCTTCAATAAGTAACACATTCCCGCAATGTTAAATAAGATACTAAAGAGTTGATAGTCAAATTTACCAAAAATCAAATTAATGGACATAGGTTTAGAGTGAATTTCATATAAACTTGCTTCACCCTATTTTCTACTTTCCTTTAAGATTAGAAAACAATGATAAATGGTAAGGGATATGTTATACAAATTGATTTTATTTTATATGCAAAAATTAGTTTAGACTCAATACAAACTTAAATGTAAGGTCCTTAAAAATTTTACATAAATCTATTCAAAGAAAATTTGATTGCAAGCATTCTTTAGTTTGGTATCATTGAAACGTCTACTATATAATAATATTGTTAAGGGGACCTTCATTACGTATGAAAGTGAATGAAGAAGAGATTCGTTAGTCGATTTAACCAGATGAGGACGGATGAATCTCGTTTTACTGAGCCGTTTG